CTCGTTATTGGAAGCTTCATAAACGATGATAACATACACATCCTTCTCACTCGTTATTGGAAGCTTCATAAACGATGATAACATACACATCCTTCTCACTCGTTATTGGAAGCTTCATAAACGATGATAACATACACATCCTTCTCACTCGTTATTGGAAGCTTCATAAACGATGATAACATACACATCCTTCTCACTCGTTATTGAAACTTCATAAACGATGATAACATACACATCCTTCTCACTCGTTATTGAAAACTTCATAAACGATGATAACATACTGACTGAACTTCTTCTCTAACTGCTACAGCAATCACAAAAATAAAGTTATAGTTCAGGTGGGATAACATGGTTCTACCACAGTTATAGTTCAGGTGGATAACATGGTTCTATCACAGTTATAGTTCAGGTGGGATAACATGGTTCTACCACATGATGCTAGAAAAACACGTAGGTTCAAGAAGTCTTGATTGAAATGAATAAAAACCGTATAACCTGAACAAAGCTCAATTTTCACGTGAAACTATCTTTTACTGAAGCAGATCTTGTATATTCTCTATGAAGCATTCTAAACAACAGAGTTGTTGATCTATCCTTAGCAAAGTGAAACACCAAATATTTATATATCATTTATCTCTGGGATTAGGACAATAATACCTAATATTTCTGTTCAGAATTATAAAGAATATATCCTCATAATAAAGTGTTGGTATCATTAATGATGTTTGGTATTATTAATGAATACAAAACATATTTTGCATTGCAAAACAGGCGGTACCAATTTAAACCCTTACCTTCGTCCATCATAAGGCTGACCAAAGAGAATATTCTCTTTCAAAGTTGCATTAAGAAGCCAAGCTTTCTGAGGAACATAGGCAACAGATGGAGTGCTAAAAATATACATATTTATGCAGAAAAATTACTTTTTTATTTTTATACACATTTTTTATATTTCACATTAAAAAGAAAGAAAAAAGAGTAATGAGGATAAATACTTTAACAATGAAAAAAACCTTTAACGATCATTAACAATCGGACAATTAATGAAGATGTTTTACTACAATCCAAGAACAGAATGAAATGCTTGAACAACGAAATAAAACAACAGAACCTTTAACAATCAGACAACTAATGAATACATTTCACTACATTGCAAGAACAGAATGTGATCAAAACTCAACTCCAAGAAAAATAAAGGGTGTCTCTTGAATAAATTACGGCTTTTATCAACCAGCTTAAAAATGTCATAAAACAACCGTATCTTATGCTTGTACGAAATCTTAAGAATAACTTTTGATTCCTAGTAAAATTAGTCCCTGTATTTCATTCACAATTCTAAGGCAAATATATATCTTATTCCAACTAAATTAACGTACACATAAAGCCAGTTAAACTTTAATAAATGTGAGAAATCCTATCATGTATCATTGATGCAAAATAAATTCTTATAAAGTCCTGATGAAAATTAGCAATACACAATTTAAGTATTAATGAAAAGATAACCTTATTAGTTGCTTATAAATTTCTTTGGTCAGCCAGAAAGATATTTATATTACTAAGAGGACTTGATTAGTTTTTAAAACTACTTCAGTATATTACAACACAGGGTGGAATGGTAATGTAGTATCATGAGTTTTAGGTCGGATTAATTGAACGCCAACTTGAATTATATTTTCACAGTTACATCTTTTTGTAAGAAAGACACACACACAACTAAAATGTATTGTAAAGTGCTTTACTCCCAGCCAAGTAGATGTAAAAATATGAAGATATAAACGACACTTTTTGGTAGGTATAGAACACTATAAACTGCTTAACGTGCTAAGAAGCCTAACAAAGATATCAGAATATTATATGGTAAATAACACTATGTACCACACCCACATTTATCTGTTTCTTGAACTCTTTCACTGCCATGGTCACATATATATACGAGACACTACATAAACTTGTTTTAGCCTTGATATTAACAACATGTAAGTTGGGAGTTCAGTATCACCATTAGGAAAGGGTATTCTCCTTCAAACATCCCAAATTTTACTTACTTTTGTTTTTTAGCCTTGATATTAACAACATGTAAGTTGGGAGTTCATTACCACCATTAGGAAAGGGTATTCACCTTCAAATGTCCCAAATTTTACTTACTTTTGTTTTTTAGCCTTGATATTAACAACATGTAAGTTGGGAGTTCAGTACCACCATTAGGACCTCCTTCAAACGTCCCAAATTTTACCTCTTGTAAGCTTGAGATAAATACTTAAGACAGTAAAACCTGATACTGGGAGGGTGTTTATAAACATGATGATTCAAAATTTAAGTATTTACTGATCAACCTGCCCCTTTTACAGCCAAGGTATAAGTAATGGTGATAAAAACGAAACAAAAAAAAACTATCTAAAATGAACAGTAAAATGGATGAAACATTTACAATTACATTTTGATAATAATTATTCATCACTTAAATAATATATTCCTATTTTATATCATTAAAACAAACAAACTTAGTATTACAACCTAAAACCAGATGGCTATGAAATTTTCTGGAAGCTGTTTTGAGGGTCAAGGTTGGTAACTTATATAGAAAAATATCATAAATAAAATTTATATAAAGGAAGATTGAAATCACCTAGTAGATACATTTAACCTTCTCAATAGCATATGTTTGTACCTACCATTATCCCTTATGCTTGAGAATGCTGTGACAACCCAGATGTGCTATGTGTTTTGACGTTTGACTCGCAGTGTGAGGATCAAAACCAATCCCAAAATGTGCCCTTTCAGCCATAGGACATTATAATGTAATGTTCAATCCCAATATCTATTGGTAAAATAGTAACCTAAGAGGTGGTAGTGGGTGGTGTTGACTTGCTGTTTTCACTCTAGTTTATCACTTCAAAATTAGTGATAACAGATGGCCCTTGAAGTTGTTTATATGGAATTCAACAAACAAACAAGATAGTGAATTCATAAGGTATGTAAATTTCTGTAAAGTAACAACATATACTTTTAATTTCATAGACACATTCTACTTTCATTGAAAAAGTACGTAAAAAAAAACTTTTATCTTGAACATAATATTCTCATACAGTTTTTAATTTTGCCATCCCTTAGTAACATCTTCTAACTGTGTGATAAAGTGGCCAGTGTTTTTTTTCACCCACAACTTGTTTATTTTATTTATGACAATAAGAGAAACATTTTGTCAGATTCATCTTATTAGTAAATCAAAACCGCATATACTTCAGTTTTCTTTTATATTTTGGTAGGAAAACTCACTGTAGTTATTGGACAAGTGGGATGTGGAAAAACTTCATTGCTCTCTGCCCTGTTAGGAGAGATGCAAACTTGTAAAGGAGTGGTCCAATGGGCAGGGTAAGTTGGTTGTGTGCCTTTGTTTTTACCTCTATTGAATTTGGTCTAGCACAGACTATTGGCTAAAATTTTCTTGCAATTTTAATTGCAACCTTTTCATAAACCATAAATGTTATTTCTTATAACAGAAAAAAAGATGTTTTCAAATTTTTACTGGATCTTAAACATCTTGTTTATAAGTAGATTAATCGTCCAAGACATTTTCCGCAAGCATCACATTGAACTTGGCAGTTGCTTTCCGTTTCAAAATTATTTGTTCACCATGAGACTCTGCCTAAAGCATCTATAAAAGGGCATCTAAAGAGCCAGCTTCTATCAGCAAGATCAACAAGAATTTAACCAAGTTTGCATACTGCTCCAACAACTTGACCTTTTACCATGCTACAGAGATTTGAACATTACCCCAAAGTTCTTTGCTCAAGAGTTGTGCATGTCTGCCAGAGACACTGTAATATGTCTCGATGGCACTGTTCACTTGTGTTGAGATGAAGAATAAATGGTAAAGTACAAGAATGGGAAATAAAACATTAAAAATTAACTATATACGTGTAAAGGAAAGACCTGAAATTACTAATATAACCAAAACATAATCTTTAAATATATTCCACCAAAAATGAAAAAGCATGTACTTTTTTTTTATCTATTTCCTAATTTTAATCATTTTACTGCATCGTACTTTGATGATAATACCTACATTTAGTTATATGGTAGAGAAAATTAAAAATAAAATATAAACATTTACCTTAAAACTTTTGATATTCACTTAGGATGATCTAAAGGTTATGTAAATTAATTATTTAAACAGTTTGAGTGAAAATAACTACAATAGATAAATAACATTTTTATTAGAAAGACATAGATAAAATAATTTCATTCTCTGTATACAAAATACTTATAAACTTTAACAAAAGCTTACAAGGTTTTGTGAGGAACACTCAGAATAACCGCATGTTTTTTTGCATAAATGTCCTTCCCCAGTCGAGATGATGTGAAATGTGTCATCAGCCAGTGGGGAAAGAGTTAATATTTAAACTACTTGATGCTTTCAAAACACATGTAGACAAACATGCAATGTACGTTTTTAATATCAAAACAACTTGGATAGGTTTCACATACAATGTAGACACTTTCAATATTAGCTGCACGTAGGGAAACTCTGAACATCGATATTGAGACAAGGGTAATGACACTCATTCTAACTGAACACATCTTGGAATAAATGGTACAGGGATTTAGATAAAAGTGTATTTTTTTGTCTTATTATCAGACAATGTTTGAAAAAATAGCCTAAAGTACTAATATGTAGTTTGTTTGTAAGTAAGCACAAAGGTACGCAATGGGCTATCTGTGCTCTGCCCACCACGGGTATTGAAACCCAGTTTCTAGCAATGTAAGTCATATTGCTATGTCACTGGGGAGAACATCTAACTGTAAAGAAAAAGTTTGGCACTAGCACAGTTATTTCAAATATTTTTATGTTGCTACTGGCAGTACTGTAATTAAATAAACTTTCCTTAACTGACTCCAGGCTCATAAATCACACATTAAACTACATTTTGTGAAATCACCATTCCTACACACCTTTAAACAGCTGACAGTGTTTCAGAGTGGCTTGAGATTTCTTGGGGATAAAAAACATTAAACAACCAAAATTAAATATGTCAGTAAGGGTTCATCCCAACAAATGTGGAAGCTGATGATTATCTGAATAGATTCTGGTCCAATAAAACAAATGTGGAAGTTGAGGACTGTCTGAACAGTTTCATGTTCAGTATAACAAATGTGGAAGTTGAGGACTGTCTGAACAGTTTCATGTTCAATAAAACTAATATGGAAGCTGAGGACTGTCTGAACAGTTTCATGTTCAATAAAACTAATATGGAAGCAAAGGACTGTCTGAACAGTTTCATGTTCAATAAAACTAATATGGAAGCAAAGGACTATTTTAACAGTTTCTGGTTCAGTATAACAAATGTGGGAGCTGAGGACTGTCTGAATAGTTTCTGGTTCAAGAAAACAAATGTGGAAGCTGAAGACTGTCTGAACAGTTTTTGGTTGTTATTTGCTAACTGCTACCACTAATGTTAAGTGTTGTGTTTGTGAAATGGCAGTACTGAAGGTAAAGTTACTAAGTGCTTGTATGGGTAGTATGAAAGAATTAATGAATGAATTTTTAATAGAATCAATTCAAACAATTGGACTGAAAATTACTTGCTTGTAACTGTAGGCACAGTAAAACTATACACATATTAGTAATAACGTGCACGTGTAACTCAATATATAATTTTTAATTATTAAAACATCTAAACTTCAATCCCAGAAGAAAAGCATAAAATATAAGCTTAAAAGTTATATTTAGTTTTCCACCTTTATGTTTCAATTTTCACTATTTTGATTAGAATGTTGACATAAACCTACCTGCTGGGATTTGAACATGAATATCTTGTAGCACACTGATGGAAGAATTGAAATCCCATGTAAAAGAGCCATTCTGCACAACAGCAGCAACTGAGCCATCTACGGTCGGTTGATTCATTAACTCGGGAAGAAAAACTCCATCAGACTCATCACTCCCACCAAGAATGTTTCGCTTTCTTTCTAATTCTGCATCTTTTACATTTAACTGAAATATAAAATAATTACTTAAGCATTTAATACTTTATCATCACATCATGCCTGGACGTTAAAACCAATTAGTTACTTATTTCACGAAAAAATAAAATAGGAACAAAAGAGAAATACCAATAAATTGTGAATCCCGAAATCAGTATAGTATAGTCTGCAGAACAAGTATATGTGAGACCTGGCTTTCAGGTCAATGATCATAGTCATACTGTGCAGTAACATAATACATTGTTATGTCACAGAGTGCTGTTTATATCATTATAAATTGTAAGTTTACTAAAATATAACATTTAGGTTTAAACATGTTTAATGGTTGTCCTATTTTATGTTTATTTGATCTTCAAATATGGTGATTTTTTTGTGAATGCAAATCCAGAAATTACTATACTGCCTCAAGATTGGAAATAGTTAAACAAGATTTTAAGCCATTTTATTGTTCACATAAATATTCCATACTCTGGTAAATAATACTTCATCCTCAACAGAAAACATTATAGTAACACTTACCAATACACTACCACTATCTGGATTGTATTCAACTATGGCTGCAGGACCTTCCTGTTCTCTCCATGGAGTGTTAGAGTCAACTTCAGACATCTGTAGAAAGTGTCTCAAACGTTTGGTGCTCACCTAGTTCATAATTGACAATCAATCAGTAATATCCACTAATTAACTATGACTTGAATTATGTCCAACAATCAAGTATAAACAATTAAAAATTTGTATTTAGTTAATATCCAACAATTAAGTATAAAACAATGAAAAATTTGTACTTAGTTAATATCCAACAATTAAGTATAAAACAATTAAAAATTTGTATTTAGTTAATATCTAACAATCAAGTATAAAACAATTAAAAATTTGTATTTAGTTAATATCTAACAATCAAGTATAAAACAATTAAAAATTTGTATTTAGTTAATATCTAACAATCAAGTATAAACAATTAAAAATTTGTATTTAGTTAATATCTAACAATAAAGAATAAAACAGTTAAAAATTTGTATTTAGTTAATATCTAACAATAAAGTATAAACAATTAAAAATTTGTATTTAGTTAATATCTAACAATAAAGTATAAACAATTAAAAATTTGTATTTAGTTAATATCTAACAATCAAGATGAAATAATTAAAAATTTGTATTTAGTTAATATCTAACAATAAAGTATAAACAATTAAAAATTTGTATTTAGTTAATATCTAACAATCATATATAAACAATTAAAAATTTGTATTTAGTTAATATCTAACAATCAAGTATAAACAATTAAAAAATTGTATTAGTTAGTTCACGTCAACATAAATAATGGTACAGATGTAGATAAAACCCACATCATAATGACAGGAGATTTTTTGTCAAACCATATTGAGATTAGCGGTACAGAATGTGCAAGATAATGGACTTAGCTCAAGGTTTTACAAATTAAAAATGTTATATAAAAAACACATAAAAACCAACTGTCAATTGTTGAAAAAAGTTAATCTAAATCACTATCAATAATACTAATACAATAATACTAGAGAATAAATAATCATTTGGCATTACAGCCTGTACCATTGCATTGATGACAATTGGAATAACAAAGGGAATAATATATAGTGGCACAGTGAGCTGATTGAAGAGGGCAAGACCAGTAAAGACCTCTGATGATGCAAGAGGCTTTCCTTCAATTGTTGAATACAGAGCAAATGTCTGGAAAAAACAAGTAATTAATTTTACAAGTTTATAAATAAAATAAAGAAGCAACAATTAAAATTCTTATTTTTAGTTCTATCAATCAAGAACTAGAGAACCACAAATAGATTAAGAAAAAGAAATATGGCAGGTCCTTCAGTACTATTTAGTTCGAATCTGAGAATAGCTTCCTTAAAAGTGATACATTTTAGTTTACTGTAAGCGAGTGTCTTTAGCACAACACGGAACTTAAGATGTTTTTTTGTTTATGAAAGTACAAATCGTGTAGAATAAAAAAAAAGGGTTAAACAAATTTAAAATCCTTATTAAATCCATGTTTTTGACTAGAAGGAGACATGTAAAAAATGTTAGATTTTCATCAGGTGTTTCTACTGTTCATTTGATGAACAACAACTATGAAATAGCCTTTATTCAGCTAAAAACTAGAACACAGAAAAAACTATTAACCAAACTAGTTCTAATAATTATTGCATGAACTAGTGAAAATTAACGTTTGTTTGAAACTTTCAAAAATCATTAACATATTACATTTTTACTGAACAAAGGTTACAGAACATCTATTTGGATAAATTGGCCAGAATACTACAGACCTTTTACCAAGTGAGAAAAATTAAGTTACGAATTTCTCTGCATATGCAATATACAGCTAAGGCAATTGGAGTGTCCCCACTGGTACATTCATTCTTTAGGGAGTGTTCCCACTGGTACATTCATTCTTTAGGGAGTGTTCCCACTGGTACATTCATTCTTTAGGGAGTGTTCCCACTGGTACATTCATTCTTTAGGGAGTGTTCCCACTGGTACATTCATTCTTTAGGTAGTGTTCCCACTGGTACATTCATTCTTTAGGGAGTGTTCC